CAATGGTTTCCTAGCTATGTCTACTGAAGAGGCCTGTGACCAAACGAGTAGCAATGAGTACCCCCAGGGTCTAGACTGTGGTTGCTAAATACCATTTCCAACTAAAAATAACCAGGGCTCCTTGGAGAAATGGCTAAATTCAGATCTGAGACTGCAAATGTACAAGATGAGCCTGTAAATCTTAGCAAACCAGAAAGCAAGGAAACTAACAAGGCTAGGACTGCTTCAAATGAACTCGGGAAGCATGTTTATTTGAATCCCCTAACTGAAGAATAAGGTAACACTGGTAAGGACAACTGTAGCGGAGGGAAGTAAATGTTTAAAGCCACGAGTCCATGGTTTACTAAATCTAGGCAAAGACAATCAATAGCTGCCATTATGATAAAAAGTATATCCAAGTAGCCTTGAAAAAAAATTGGAATTTGATAAAGCCCTATAGTGGGTCTTAAATTTTAGCATGCACCAGAACCACCTGGGGGCTTGCTGGGTTCCACCCAGAGTCTAATGTTTTCTTTTAGAGATGGGGTATTGCTATGTTGCCCAGACTAGAGTGCAGTGGCTTTTTTTTTTTTTTTTTTTTTTTTTTTAGACAGAGTCTCACTCTGTTGCCCAGGCTAAAGGTGCCATGGCATCAGCCTGGCTCACAGCAACCTCAAACTCCTGGGCTCAAGCAATCCTTCTGTCTCAGCCTCCCAAGTAGCTGGGACTACAGGCATGTGCCACCATGCCCAGCTTATTTTTTCTATATATCTTTAGTTGGCCAATTAATTTCTTTCCATTTTTAGTACAGATGGGTCCCTCTTGCTCAGGCTGACTTTAAACTCCTGACCTTGAGTGATCACCACACCTTGGCCTTCCAGAGTGCTAGGATTACAGGCATGAGTCACCGCACCCAGCCCCAATCGCCTTGAACTTGCCTCAAGCAATCCTCCCACCTCAACCTTCTGACTAGCTGGGACAACAGGCACTTGCCATTATGCCCAGGGACAGTTGCTGATTTAGAGTCTGGGGTGGGGCCTGAGGAAAGTGGTATTTCTAACATCTGACATCCCAGATAATGCTGAGACTGCTGGTCTGGGAACCAAACTTTGAAAACTGTTTCTCTAGGTCTATCAATTTACAGGAAATAAGAGATACAGGATTACACGCCTAATGACACCATGAGATCAAAATCAGCAAAATCAAAGTTGGAAAATGCTACAGGACAGTGACCTGACTTCTCCAACATCTAAAGATGAAATGTCTAGGATTTCCTTCAAAATTATCTGGGCAAGGAAGTGGACAGGTGTCTATTGTTAAAGCTAGACTAGTAAATGGGCGGTACATCATACTATTCTCACTGGTGTTTGAAATTCTGCATGGTAAAAGTAACAGCAGACCAGGCACGGTGGCTCATGCCTGTAATCCTAGCACTCTGGGAAGCCTGAGGTGGGTGGATTGCTCAAGGTCAGGAGTTCCAAACCAGCCTGAGCAAGAACAAGACCCCGTCTCTACTAAAAATAAAAATTAATTGATCAACTAAAAATATAGAGAAAAAATTAGCCGGGCTGTGAGCTAGGCTAATGGCAGGGCACTAGTCTAGCCTGGGGAACAGAGTGAGACTCTGTCTCAAAGAAAAACAAAAAAAGAGCTATGACAACAAAATTTAACAAATGATCCAGAACCAACAGAAAAAAATAGGTGATAATGGATGAAATTTAAATATGAACTGTGTATTAGACAACAGTATTACATCAATGTTAATTTCCTGATTTTGATAAGATATTGTCCCTATTCCCAGGAAATACATTTTTAGGGATAAAAGAGCATGATGTCTTCCTGGATAGAGCTGGAACCCATTCTACTAAGTGAATCTATCTCAAGAATGGAAAAACAAGCACCACAGGTACTCACCAGCAAATTGGTATTAACGGATCAACACCTCAGTGGACATATAGGAATAACATTTATCAGGTGTCGGGAGGGTGGGAGGGGTGAGGAGGGGATGGGTATATACAAACACAATGAGTGAGATATGCAACAGTTGGGGGATGGTCACCCTTGAAGCTGACTCAAGGGGTAAGGAGGGGCATGGGAAACATACATAACCTTAACACTTGTACCCTCATAATATGCTAAAAAAAAAAAAAAAAAAAAAAGAGTATGATGTCTCTTTCAGATTCAGGAAAAAAATAAAAAAGGCCGGGCAAGGTGGCTCACGCCTGTAATCCTAGCACTCTGGGAGGCCGAGGCGGGCGGATTGCTTGAGGTCAGGAGTTCGAAACCAGCCTGAGCAAGAGTGAGACCCCGTCTCTACTATAAAATAGAAAGAAATTAATTGACCAAATAATACATATAGAAAAAATTAGCCGGGCATGGTGGTGCATGCCTGTAGTCCCAGCTATTCGGGAGGCTGAGGCAGGAGGATCGCTTGAGCCCAGGAGCTTGAGGTTGCTGTGAGCTAGGCTGACGCCACGGCACTCACTCTAGCCTGGGAAACAAAGCGAGACTGTCTCAAAAAAAAAAAAATTAAAAAAAAAAAATTGAGGAGATAAAAATCCTGCTATGTTGCCCAGGCTGACCTCAAACTCCTAGGCTCAAGGGATCCTCCCACCTCAGCATCCTGAAGAGCTATGACTAGAATCAGGGTACAGAGCCAGGTTCCAAAAAAAGCATATTAGTGAAAAGTGAAACAAAATATAATTGGTGAATGAGAAAATAATATGGATCTCTGCATTACACCTGCACCTCCTTCCCCATGTGTGAAACTATTAAAATAGCTACCCAAAATTTCTATTTTTAGAGCCTTCTTTAACCCAATTTCTTTCAAATAATTTTCACTAAGAGGAATTGAGTCTCTGAAACAAGCATTGAATTTTAATGCTTTAGGACTACTAGGAACTCAATGAGAATTTAAACTCTGCCTCTGCTTACAAAGCCTTGTAATACCATAATGACTCTTAGAAATAATCTCCAAAACAGGGGTAAATATATGGCTGTATTAATTACAACTTCCTAAAATAAACTTTAATATTACTTTTCCTTTGTAAAATTCAAATGAGTTATGTGATGAAACTATCAGAGGAATGTGAATTTTTCTAGATTTGCATAAAGCATCTCCAGAAGGACTCACAAGAGACAAGTAGTCCTGGCTTCCTCCAAAGGGTCAAAGGTGGGTGGGTCTTACTGTAACACCTCCCTTTTGCATCTTCTGAAAAATCATGTTTCAAAGATCAGAAGAGTGTAAAAACTTCATTAATTGTCATAATGGGAGCCATGTGTGGGATCCCTCTAAGATAGCCAGGCATATCTAAACCAAGCTATTTAGGATCTAGAAGACCAATTACACTAACTCATCACCCTTTTAGTAAATGGATACATATACATCATCTTAAGATACAAACATACAACTTATTCAAAATGTGGTCACTGTTAGGTCCTGGAACAAACCTAACAGTCATCACTGGCTGAAAAAGCGCAAAGATTAGCATGTAAATTGATAATTATTAATACTATACTAGGTGCTATACTGTAAGAGCTACACTCTTTTGTATAGTATTTTTATATAACATTTTTATACAATACTGTATGTTGAAAGTATTTTTTTTTTTTTTTTTTGAGACGGAGTCTCACTTTGTTGCCCAGGCTAGAATGAGTGCCAATGCGTCAGCCTAGCTCATAGCAATCTCAATTTCCTGGGCTCAAGTGATCCTACTGCCTCAGCCTCCCAAGTAGCTGGGACTACGGACATACGCCACCATGTCCGGCTAATTTTTTGTATATTTACATATTTTTAGTTGGTCAATTAATTTCTATTTTTAGTAGAGGCAGGTCTCACTTGGGCTGGTTTCGAACTCCTGACCTCAAGCAATACGCCTGCCTTGGCCTCCCAGAGTGCTAGGATTACAGGCATGAGCCACCACGCCCGGACTGAAAGTAATTTTTTAATTCATGTTGCTACATAAGCCAAAGGATCACTTAATAGACACTTTTGCTGAAAAAAAAAATTTATTCATTTAACAGTATGTCAGTCATTTAAAGTAGGTCTCCGTATCAGCATATATTAAGTAAAAACAAGTTGTAGACTACTACTCATGGCATGAAGAAATTATTGACTGAAACTGGGTATAGCTACAGAAGTTAAAAAGCCCTGCTCTCTGAAAGCAAGGTAAATAAAAGTATGATGGTTTGTAAATTTACATTTGGTAATGTAAATTACCAAAGTTTAGAGAGTTGTAGGTCCAAATTAAGAAAATTAGGTTAAGAATTTAGCAAAAAAGGATTAAAGCTTCCCAGTTCATCTGAGAAATAACTGCATTGGAAAATGTCCAAACTATTACAAGATATGAGTAAATTCTACATGAAAATAAAGTTAGCAAAAAGACTTAGTATATTTAATCCTTTACAACAGCAGTTAGTATTGTGACATTCTAAGAGCTTTTCATACATCAGCTTTTAATCTTCACACTGCTTGCATGAGGTTTTATGTTTCAATGACCCTGAAGCACAATGGCTAATGACTCATTCAAGATAAACCATCTACTATGTTAATCCCAAACCAGTTTCTGAAGAACTGAAAACAAGATCCCTTTCTCACACTGGAGACAGGAATGGCCTGCAAACTGCAACTCCAATTCAAAAAACCATTTGCGAAGAATTTGGTGCTAAGTGGGAGTACACAATAAACTCAAAACAAGCCTTTCCCTCAGAAAAGTATTTTATTGATAAAGCATAAAATAGGTTAACAAACTGGGAGAAAAAAGACACCAAGATGAAAGGTGGTAAACACAAGAATGGGAAAGTAAAAGTCAACGTAGGCAGGACTCATACTGGCCATAAAGGCACTACGGCATGTCAATAAACACTATCAAGTAAAAGAAAATGGAATCGAGATGTTCCTCAATTCTCTTTTGCTCTGTATCAACTTAATACTATCTAGCCACTGATTAGTGTGTGGCATGTTGTCAACTCAGATTCTACTCACAAGTTAGCAAGGAACCAAACATTTTGTCAACTCTATGTTCTCAAGTGGGCCGATGTTATACAGTAGTTTAGTGCCTCCAATGACTTGGGTCTACTGGCATGGAGTAAGACTAGACTTTTTAACAAATTGGTCTTTGCTATTACTAGAAAATGTTTACGGGTGCAGGCATTTACCTATACAATTACCCACTTACTGGGGCAGCTAACAATGTAGTCAAACCTGCCCATTACCATATGATGTCACATTAACAGAAGTGAGCCCAGCTGAAGGATGTTGCATACTTTCAGAAAGCCAAACTTCACATTTTAATAAGCTCCCCCCTTCCTTAAAAGGCTGTGGTTCAAAAAGCTTTTATGTTCTTTCCCTGAAAACAAGAGAACTTTGGTCAAAACCAATTTTTAAAAGTCATTACTTCTTTCAATAGGCAAAATAATTAACTATAATTACAGACATAATTTTCTTCCCTTAACTTCTAAAGTTTATATTGGAAAAATAAATCCATTTTTTTATAAACATCTAAAACAAGGTATCAAAGAAAGAAAGATAATGGAAACCTCAACCTTTTGGGGCATTGTATTTCTAAGGTTAAGCTTTAAGATTTTTAACAGGAAGCCTAGTAATTTCTTAAAAACAAGGCTTTTTGCATGTTATCAAGTACTCTCTCACCTGCTGTGATTGACACCTAGATATTTGACTCAAATTTTTTCACTCAGCCTTTTATTAGATGTTTCTGGATTATCTGAACATACAAACCAACCCTACAGTATCGAGCTTTCTGTCACATCTGTGGCACAATGAGTAGTGTACCACCATGCCCTATTACAATCCAACCCATGGCACCTTAACCAGGGACAGGTCCTAACATTTAAGCTGAGCCAATTAATCTACATCTTGGTTTTAGATCAAGGTTAATAAGTGCTTTTAAGTGAAATAACATCTGAATAAAGGATCATAGGGTTAATTCACTTCTTGAACTGCAATTTCAACTAATTAGGCTCGCGAATGAATAGACTAACCGCTAACCCAGTAACACCTACAAATTTGCAGTATTCTAATTTGTTTTCCACAGTATTCATTACACTTGATCCATAATAAAGTACAGAAAGCTTTTAGTTTACCCATTTAATTGTTTTTCAAACCAAACTACACAAAGTATAGAATTTACAAAGATGAACTAACCAATTACTACATGACCCCACTAGCTACAAAGAGGGGGAATGACTGCTGGCTGTAACTTAGTTTCTTTTTTTTAGACAGAGTCTTGCTCTGTTGCCCAGCTAGAGTACACTGGCATCATAACCCACTGCAAACTCAAACTCCTGAGCTCCAGGGATACTCCAGCCTCGGCCTCCCAGAATGCTAGGAATGAGCCACAGCATGGGTCTAATTTTATTCAGCAACTGAGTTCACCAAGGATCTGTTGCATAAACATAACAATCTTTCAGCAGAAAAAGCAGTATGTACTTTTCTACTTTGAATACACTAAATTTCTGATCAAAGAAACACTACTTTTGTTTTCATACAACATATAAAGATCATTGAACCACACTTCAACACTACACTGACTTTCAGAAATTGGATTATCAAAACAAGATCCCAAGCATTAGGAGCTATTTCTTGAAATTAATGTTTGAGAAGTTTCATTATTTAAACATTTATCTAGGTAAAACTGTTAACAGATTGACTACAAAGTATCTTTTATTTTTAACCCAGCTTGTTAAATGGGCAGATAAAGACTTTGGCAAATTTGAGTAACAGCACAAAATGTTATCCCAACTGAATAATTTATTGCTGGTCTGAGGCTTGCCTTGTTTTACACTTAAGTAGAATTTACACTGTTTCCACAAATAGCAGATATCGACATTTAAAGGAATTTAATAGTGACCTATTCAAATAAGGCAATCATCTTGGTAGCAAACTTTTATTTAAATCTTACATAACTCAAGCTTTATAAAAAGCCAACATAATTTGCAAATTGGGTTCTCCCTCTAAAGCCTTAAGTATTCAAAGCTTGAAACGGTTAATTTAAAAATAAGCAAACAAATAAAACAAGAAAAAACCCTTGCAGCAGATCCTGCTGAAATACTTAAAAAAAAAAAAATCTAAATGAGCTTAATCTTTACAAAAGTTATTTTAGCTCAAAAGCTATAAAATCAAAGTTATCTTAATTCTACAAAGAAGAGAGGGTCTCTGACTTCATGCCACCATTCCTTAGAACCTTATCTTTTTCATCAAATTTGGCCACAAATCAAATTTCTCTGTGCCCCTGTTTTCAAGAGATTCTTCTTGCAGAAGAGGCCAAGTATAAACATGGAAGAGTAACTGCCTAAGCAAGTAGGAAAATGTTCTGTAATAGTGTGCAAAGAATGTAGAGTTCTGGGTTAATCTCTGGAACTTGATCTGGACCTTGATCTTGACTTTGAGCGAGATCTAGAACGGGATCTTGAAGTAGCTCTTTTTGGTGGAGGGGACACAGAACGAGCCTTTGAGGGTGGAACAGGTAGGGGTGAATTGGAACGAGACTGGCTCCTTGATCTGGATTTTGACTTTATATCACCTTTTCCATTTTCTTTGGGGGATCGAGACTGTGATCCAGACCTGCTTCGAGATTTCTCATACTCCTTAGATCTGCTTCGGGAACGAGACCGGGAGCCCCGATCAGACTTGGGCTTAGACTTGCTCTTTGACCTAGATTTCCTCCCCTTTGATCGAGAACGGGATCGACCTTTGCTCCTCGACCTGGATCTGGACAAGAAAAGCCGGTTGTTTTTCTCCTTTCAGAACATACACATACTCCATAAACTACAGTAATATTCACAAAAATCCAACACCACATTGTTTACCGGGAGCGACTTTTCGAGATACTCCGAGATCTACTGCGGCTGCTCCTGCGACTCCTACTCCGTGACCTCCTTCTAGAGCGTGACCTATAAGAAAGACAATGAAATCTTAATCTCAGTACATTTCAATGTTTGTGCTATCTAGAAAAATAACAGATATAGCCTTACAAACCGAAAGCTGGCTTAGGCTCAGTTAAGCAACTAAAATTATTGTTACACTTTTTATTTGTGGGTAAATATTGTTTCCTCCCTCTCTGTATCCTTCAACATGTTACCTAGATCTGCTTCCAGAATAAGACCGCCTATGGCTTGTGCGTGGCTTATCTTCAATAAGCCTAATGTTTCTGCCATTTATTTCGGTACCATCCAGTCTGTCCAAAGCACGCTTCATGTCAGAGTAGGAGCGAAATTCAATTACGCCCTCATTTGTGCGTTCCTTATGAGCATCCGCATAAGTTACTTCACCTGCTTGTCGCATAAAATCCTAAAACAGCAAACAAAACTGGTCAGACCTAGAAATCCAATGATAAAATTTATACACTGTATGATTCTCAGAAATAAAAGTGTAAAAAGAGCCTACCTTTCTTTAATGCACTAGTAATATCATTTTGATCTCAAATCACAACACATACCTTTAAATCTTGCCAACTGCAACGACTAGATAGGTTTTCTACAATAAGCCTGTACTCTGTACGAACAGGTGGTCCGTATTTGTCTCTGCCAGAAGTTCTCCGACTGCTGTATCCACCTCCACCACCTTTATCACATGAAGGAAACGATTAGATGCTTTGTAATGATAAAAATGCATAACGTTTTTGAAAGTTAGTACAAACATATCAACTTTTATTTACTGGAGTAGGACTTTGCTATTATATTGCTAAACCTTTGATACATTTGTGATTTGCCATAAATTAAATTAAGGGCAAGTCAAATAAGACTAAATCCAACTAAACCTCTCCTACAATCTGTTAGAGAGTGACTGCTCCTTTATTCGATTTACCTCGCTAAGTTTTATTTTACAGAACATTGTAAAATATAAAACTTAACTGATTACATGCATTTCTACATTTTACAAAAATGTTTACTAGTTACACTAAGTACTTACATCACAGTGTGAGGTTTTTGGTGGTGGTTTGGCCACAAAACACGCAAGGTAACAGTCACCTAGTTCAGATTAACCAGTTTTGTCTAACCCTTGGAATCCTCACCATCACCCTGCGTCTAATGGCAAAAGGCTGCTGTCGTCATGGCTTCCGGTAAGGTCAGCCAAAGGGTCATAGGGCAAGGGTCACACAATGTATGGAAAAGCCAAGGCCAATCAGGAAAGGCAGTCATCTTAGCCTCAGTGGACACAGCCTCAGCCCCATTGGTCACTTTCAAATTGAAACATCAAGGACTTGTTAAAAAGTTTGAATTCAACATGCAACAATTTCAACATCAAACATTTAACATAACCAAAAATCCCCCCACCTCCTCCCAATAACATGCCCCAACTAGTTTAAATACAGCATAATGCTTTAGATTTACTTTGTGGTACAATACCACATTACTTTAACATAGCATTTTCTTTGGCCCCCACCAATTTCAGTAACTCTAACACCTACACTCTAGGCTCCTCCCCTCCCCCCGCACCCCACCCCACCTCCACCCCAGCCTGTCCCCAAACTCCCACATTTCTAGCTAATGCACTGACAAGTAAGTAAGGGGGATACAGCAAATACAGCCAACCCTTACTTCTTTCGTGGACAGAACCCATGGCAGTGCTGACAAGGGACCAGAAGCCACCCCGCTCCCAACTTGGCCAAACGACAAAAGCAAAACCAAACACCCAGACCCAATCCCCGCGCTCCGGCGTCCCATGGCTGCCCCGGGCAGACGTGAAGGCAGCAGGGCCCGGGGACACCCGAGTCAAACGACCCCCGGCCCCCGCGCCTGCCCGGGCGGGGAGGCCCCACCCCGCCCGTCCTAGTGCCTGCACCCGCCCCCCAGGGTCCCCCAGGGCGCGGAGCTCGCGGGGGTGGGACTCACTGCGGCTTCCGTAGCTGTAGCCATCGCGATCGCGGCGCGGGCCCCGGGCGTGCTCCACGATCACGCGCTCGCCGCAGAGCTCCTTGCCGTTCAGCTCGTAAACGGCGTCGTCGGCGTCGCGGGAGTCCTCGAACTCCACGAAGCCGTACCTGGGGGCGGCCGGGGCGTCGTTAGCCGGGGCGCGCACGTGCGCGCTCCCGCGTCCCACCGCGCACTCCCGCGGCTCCGCGCTGCCGCCATCTTGGAGGCCCTGCCACGCGGCGCCGCGGCCTTGGCCGCTTTTCCCTGCGGTGTCCCCGCCGCCGCCAGCCCCGGGACGCTGGGTGCGGACGTGGGCGCCCAAGCCCGACTTACCCATTTTTGAGGTCTACTTCGAGGAGGCGGCCATAGCCACTGAAAAAGCGCTGGATGTCCTTCTCCCGGACGTTGTAGCTCAGGCGTCCTATGTAGACGCGCGGCATGTCCGTGGCTGGCAGAGGGCCCAAAGGCTGGCTACCGAACACTAGACCGCAAGACGGGAGCCGCGGTGCGGGTGCGGGGACGGCGAGAGCCCGAACACGCGCCTCACACCGCAGCAGCGGCCGAGTCCAGCCACACAATGGTGCGCGCGCGAGCCAGAGATATGCTATATGGACGGCCGGCGGGGCGGGGCCTAGCGTGTGACGTCAGCGCGCAGCACGTACGCTCCCGCGTCGGGGCCCTGGGGCAGGGGGAGTCTTGTGAGTACGCCGTCTGCAAGGATTTGGGGAAGTACTATCATGCTCGCTTCCAGAATTTTCTCCAATCTTCTTAGCCCATCTTTGTAAACGTAACATCCCATAATCCAGCTACGGACTTGTCTTCTGACTTGTACCTTTTAAAAAAAACCGTTCCGCTGTATGAGCTCTTCGGGAGAATCCTAGGTTTTCATTGGTTTTCGAGGTTGTCATAATAGGTCACCGCGGTCTCTGATTGGTCGCGTAAAACGAGGCTGCGATTTTCCTCCACCGATTGGTTCTCGCTCGGTTTTGTGGGCCCGCGTCCTCGGACGCAGTTGATTAGCCGGTGTCACAGAACCCGAGGATTACTCTCGCAGGTTGTGCTGATCCGGCCAGGGGCGCGTTACCAGCGCTCAGGCCTGCCGGCTTTAGTCCCTCGGGGTCTCTCTCACAGCCTTCGTGGGCCTTCGCCGTCGCCCTGCACGTTCCCCGCTCCCTCCGTGGGTCTTTCCTGGAGTACTGGCAGCTTGAGTCACCTGTAGAAGGGGACTTACCTGAGAATCCTACGCTCACTGTAGGTACTCAAAAGGGAGCACGGCTAAGGCCCCTGGCACTAAAGGCAGTGCCCAAGAAGGTTGAGCAAGACCTGGCAGCCCTCCTACAGCAATGACCTTTATTTCTCCTCCATGTGACGAGTCCATTGTCCCAATACTATCCTTTCCTCCGTTGGCTTGGAAGGCACCTTATTTATGTGGCAGATACACATTTGTGAGTTTATCAATAGAAATGCCATTTAAAAAGCTGGAGAGCGAGATAAAAACCCCAAATGAGTAAGTTTAAGTGGAGAGCAGAGGTCCCAGGATCATGCCCTGGGCTACTCTGAAATTTGTTTTAAGTACAGGAAAAGACACTTTGAAGGAGTGACTCAGGAGGTGCAGAAGACCAGAAGAGTGTGGTGTCACAGAAGCTAAGAGAGGAAGTGTCTCAATTAGATAACACTGGCTCTTTAGTTGTTTCTGTGTTTTGCTCTTTTTGCATGGTGTAATCTCAATATCCTTCAGCTTCTAGTTGAAAAGGGGTGATTTTGCTTTCCTGGGGATGTTTGGCAGTCTGGAGGCATTGTTGGTTTTCACGACTTGGGGGAGAGAAATGTTAATACTGGCATCTAAGGAGTTCAAAACCAGCCTGGGCAATTGTGAGACCTCGTCTCTACAAAATAATAACAACAACAATAATAATAATTGTTATTATTATTCCACCTTGTAGCTGGAACTACAAGCACCACAATCACACCTGGCTATTTTTTCTATTTTTAGTAGAGACAAGGTCTCACTCTTGCTCAGGCTGGTCTTGAACTCCTCACCTGAAGCAAACTCTTGGCTTCCCAGAGTGCTAGGATTACAGGCGAGAGCCACCTTGCCCGGACTGTAATCCCATTTTTGTAAACAACCATCACCTAAAACCCTAAAAATCCTAGCCCTCAATGTGACTACATATGTGTGTATTGGGCTGTGTTTGTGGTTGCTTTTGGACATCAGTGGGGGTGGGTCCTACATAACCACGTCCTGCTAACTCTCTCACTGCATTCCTTATCCTCCTTCTCCCACCAGTGTCTTCCTTGAATGTGCCCAACATATCCCAGCCCTGAACAACTAGTTCCCTGTTTCTGGAACTATCTTTTCCTATGGTTTGTTTCCCTTGCTTCCTTTTAGCTTCTGCTCAAAGTTATTGCTCTGGTTTGAATGCATCCCCCAAAAGTTCATGTGTTGGAAACTTGATCCCAAACATGGCATTGTGGTGAGGTGGGGCCTTATAAGAGGTGATTGGGTCATGAATGAATTAATGTCGTTACTGCAAGAGTGGGCTGGTTATGGAGAGAGTGGGTTGTTATAAAGTGAGTCTGGCCAGTGCCTCTCTGACTCGAGTGCTTGCTGCCCTCCCACCATGCTCTGATGCAGCTGAAGGCCCTCACTGAGGCCGGCACCACGCTCTTGGACTTCCCAGCCTCCAGAACTGGGATAAACAAATTCCTTCCCTTCATAAATTACCCAGTCTGTTGTATTTTGTGGTAGCAGAAGAAAACAGACTAAAGCAGTTTTTTTTTTTTTTTTTATCAAATGGGCCTCCTCCAATCACCTATTTAAAAATAACACGCTTCCCCTCCACTCTGCATCTTCTTATCCTGTTTCATTTTTCTTTGTAGAACTTTTCATCACTTGACATATATTTGTTTACCTTGTCCCCCATCCACCCCAGTAGAAAGTAGGCTTCTTTAAAGCAGGGATGTTGTCTGTCTTTTGGCTCCTTTATCCCCAGTGCTTAGAGAAGTCCAGACCCATAGTAAGTGCTCAATGAACGCAGCGCTGCTCTGGTAATTGTTCAGAGTATGTGAAGGGAGAATTTTCATTCAGCAGCTATTAGTGTGCTGATGGCCTCATCGGAACGTGCTGGTGGGATGGAATTGCTCACCGTCTGGTTAATGTCCACCCACTAGTGCTGCCCAGACATACTGCCCCTCCAAGGGCTCAGAGGGGTGCAGGGATGCCCTCTCCAGATTGCATATTTTCTCCACCAGTACTTATCTATATAGGATATTCCAGTGTGGTTATAAAGGCACCGGAGCTCTCGCACATTGCTGGTGGGAGCGTAAATTGGTATGATCACTTTGGAAAACTGCGTGATAGTGTCTACTCATATTGTCTACTAAAGCTGAAAGTGGGAGTGGCTACCCCGTGACCTGGCAATTCCATGCCCAACAGAAATGTGTACATAGGCCCTGCAAAAGAAATGAACTAGAAATTCACAGAAGCCTTATGAGTAATATCCCCCAAACTGGAAATCACTCAGATGCCAACCGATAGCAGAATGGACAAATAAATCATGGTACAGGTTGAGTTTCCCTTATCCCAAATGCTTGGGACTGGAACTGTTTTGGATTTCAGGTATTTTTGGATTTTGGAACATTTGCATATATATAGTGAGATATCTTGGTGATGAGACCCAAGTCTAATCAGGAACTTCATTATGTTTTTTTTTTTTTGAGACAGAGTCTCACTTTTGTTGCCCAGGCTAGAGTGAGTGCCGTGGCGTCAGCCTAGCTCACAGCAACCTCAAACTCCTGGGCTCAAGCGATCCTCCTGCCTCAGCCTCCCGAGTAGCTGGGACTACAGGCATGCACCACCATGCCCGGCTAATTTTTTTGTATATATATTAGTTGGCCAATTAATTTCTTTCTATTTTGGGTAGAGACGGGGTCTCGCTCAGGCTGGTTTCGAACTCCCGACCTTGAGCAATCCGCCTGCCTCGGCCTCTCAGAGTGCTAGGATTATAGGCGTGAGCCACCGCGCCCGGCCTGTTTTTTTTTTTTGAGACAGAGTCTCACTTTGTTGCCCAGGCTAGAGTGAGTGCCGTGGTGTTAGCCTAGCTCACAGCAACCTCAAACTCCTGGGCTCAAGCAATCCTGCTGCCTCAGCCTCCCGAATAGCTGGGACTACAGGTATGCGCCACCATGCCCGGCTAATTTTTTCTATATATATTAGTTGGCCAATTAATTTCTTTCTATTTTTTTTTAGTAGAGACAGGGTCTGGCTCTTGCTCAGGCTGGTTTCGAACTCCTGACCTAGAGCAATCCGCCCGCCTCGGCCTCCTAGAGTGCTAGGATTACAGGTGTGAGCCACCGTGCCCGGCCTCATTATGTTTCATATACATTTTACACACATAACCCGAAGATAATTTTATATACCATGTAAAATAATTTTATGCATGAAACAGTTTATGTTAAGTACTTATGTGTGAAATTTTTCATTAACACCTGTGGCATCATGTTGGTGCTCAGAAAGTTTTGGATTTTGGAGCATTTTGGGTTTTGGATTTTTGGATGCTCACCCTGTGTGTTCACACCCCTAACGTCCTACACAGCAGTGCAAGTGAACGCCAGCGACACACAGCAAAATCAGCGAATTGCACACATGATGCAGAGGGAGGACACAAAGGAATTCATTCACACTGTATGTGCAACTGAAAAATGAGCGAAACTAATCCACAATGTTAGAAGTCAACGTGGGGGTCACCCTTGGGGTGGCGGTGCTTAGAATAGGCCTCGGGGAGCCACTGCCACGAGTCCTCGTCACATTTTGTTTCTTGATCTGGGTGCTGGTTATGCAGGTGTGCTCTGTTTGTGAAAATTCATTAAGCTGTACACTTACGATTTGTGTATTTTGCCGTATGTGTGTTGTTCTTCACTGGTAAAATTAAAATTAAAAAAGGATAATAAATCTCTTAAGAAAAATTACGACGTTTGACTTGACCAGGAGCCTCTGGGTCTTGCTGGGGACCAAAGCTCTACTGAGAATCTGATTTACCCATGAGTGTCAACTTGTCTGAATCAATGAGTTAATGTTTTTTGGCAGGGGGAGGAGGCTGTTTCCCAATTAGGTGTTCTGTAGGCCCAGCAGCGCTCCCTGGCACTGAAGGTGTGGCTTTTTCGCCACCTAGCGGTCATCGATGTGACTACAGTGGTGGATAAGTTATACCAGCCAACTCATTCTTCCAGCATGAAGTTCAGAGACAGAAGGTGATTGAAAGTCCTGGAATCCAAACCTTCTACTTGTTAAGCCTTTTTTTCCACACAGGAGTTTTCTAGCCCTTACATGACCACCCCCCCAGTGGAGAGTTTGCTGCTTCACTAGACATCCAAGTCCATGGTTCAACATCTTTCACTGTGTGTAAATTATTCTTTATTTAAAGAAAAAAATTGCTGTCTACCCATTAATCCTATTGTGCTGGAGACTGTGCAAATACCACATCTGTTTTCCAGAATTGGGTCTTTCAGATATCTGGGGGCAGCACTCAGACACTCTGTTTATGTCCTTTCATCTGGCTGAATGTCCACTCCACGGTGCCCCAAATATCCCTCCTGTGACCTGGTTTCCTGTCTGTTCCTCATTACAGGTGGCT